TAGACACAATTCTTGTTATCCCTGCCAAACTTCAGTTAATAACTTACATTTCATCATGCCCATGTTTAGAACCATGTTAGAAGTGGATATGTCAAAGTAGAACTTCCCATTTGTTAGTTAATAGCAAATGGCTTTTGCCAACACATTATTATGAACTGCAATTACTGTACTGTATCTTTTTTTTCACATGTTGTAAAAAAGCGTATGATTACAGTACAAGCTGCAATTAAGCATGTAGACTCCACTGCAGTACAGTGGCAAATCAATTTGCTTTTGTTTGGAAAATGCTAGTTTGAGAAATAAATACTGTAAATAGCCACAGCAGGAAAGCGCATTGGAAAGCATGCTGACTCAGAAGGCAAGATTGTTCTCTATCTACTCTGTCTATTTAATATTGATTACAGTTTTTCTCAAAGTGATGGCTAACACAGACACATGAAATAGGTAGAATAAGGAATGCAAGACTATGGAATTAATTAAACTTCAACATCGATTTGATTTCCCTTTTTATTTCTTCATTTTGTAAATTGCCAGCTTGCTAATGCAGCCCGTTTGTTACGGAAGAGTGATTTCTTTCTGTCTGCCAGAAGAAGGTTTCAATTTATTGCTCAGGCTGTCATGATAATTTCTGCTTGGCTACAGAGATGCAAACATGTACTTACAGTATACTCATTGGACTTGTGAGTAAGAGAGGTTTAAATGAATAAAGACCATGCAGCCCATCTTAGTGGTATAGTATATTAAGAGCTAAGCAAATCACACATTTTGTCCAACTGTTTTTGAAGGAGTCCAGATACAGGACTTGCTGTGTCTGAAATAATTCATTTTAATTGAAAACTGTGACCTAGTTTAATAGTTTCACTTCTGAGTCTCCTATAGCTATTAAGGATGAGATATTCTAGGATCAAATCTCCTTTAAATCTCCTTTGTTCAGGACTGTCAGTAGACAGTAGTGAGACTTGAAGAAGTGTTGTGAGATACAGTAGATTTCTTTATATTATGAAATTATCATTTTAATTCAGGGAATTGAAATTAATTTCTTAAAACATCTTTGGTCCCCAGGACAAAGATTGGTTATCTGTCATCTATGTTGAACCATTTTGATTATTCCACTTCTTGTGAGCCATTAATTATATATCTAATAAACAAATTCAAGCTTGAGTTTTTAGTATTCTTGTGTGCACTTGGATGCTGATATGACTTACGTCTAGCTTGCTTTTTAAATTAATCGTCACTAATTTGTGTCCCTTTCTTTGGAAACTAAAAAAAAAATGTTTTTCGCTTTGGAACATATGCCAGTATTATACAGTAAAATGTTTTAAAACATTTTAAAAGGTCACTGATTTAAAAGTAAAAGCCCAGTTTCCAACTATAATTAGCCTTACTCAACAACTCTACAGAGATTATGGAGAATTCAAATTAAAACTAGCAACACGTAGAAAAGACAAATCACTAAATTCACTCTGGAACTATCATTCATCAGCTAACTCCACTCCATAACAAAATATTTACAAGTATTCTCTATTAAATCCTAGTTGCTGATCCTGTGGAATGGATTCATTCACATGAACCTCTTTTTCACCTGTGAAGGCTGTAGCCAAGTCTCACCTGGCATCAGCATAAACATGCTTCCACAGAACATTCTGCTCATCTTATGACAAAGACACATTACAAAGGGTTATGTCAAAGGCACAGGGGATTATAGGATGTGACTTACCATGAATCAATGAGATCCGCACTATCCTCTGTCACAATAAAGCCCAATCCATCATTCAGGATCTCAACCATCCCGGCCATAACCTGCCCCCCCCCACTGCTCTCTGGCAAGCAGTACTGCACCATTTAAGCATGGACCACTATTAAGCACTATCCGCACAATCCTCTGTCACAATAAAGCCCAATCCATCATTCAGGATCTCAACCATCCCGGCCATAACCTGCCCCCCCCCCACTGCTCTCTGGCAAGCAGTACTGCACCATTAAAGCATGGACCACTAGGTTTAAGAACAGCTTCGACCCTACCGCATTGCGCGGTAAAAGCTAACAGCAATGCCTCAGAACTCAATGCACCTCTGCACTATGCACTTTTTGTGTGGACTAGCATGTTTTTTTTCACTATGACATATTTATTGTTCTCTGCAACATATTATAGTTCTGCGTGTTACTATTTATTATGTAACATTTTGTAATCTACATTGTGTGGTGTTGTCAGTTGTACTGTGTATGCCCTGAGGGATCAGAGCGAATAAGAATTCCAGTGTTACAATGTAACAATAAACTCCTCTACTCTCTGTCTACTAAACTCTTCTACTTTACTCTCTCTACTTTTCTTCCATTATTTAATTTTAACGTGCACAAAACATACAGAGGGGAACATAAACGTCAGCATATCTTAATGGGTTAATATTATTATCATAGGCAGCAGCCATGTCACCCTGCAACTCACACCTGGCAACCCACTAAAGCTAAGCAGGTGTGAGCCTGGCCAGTACCTGGATTGGAGATTTCCTGGGAAAAACTAAGGTTGCTGCTGGAAGATGTGTTAGTGGGGCCAGCAGGGGGTGTTCACCCTGTGGTCTATGTTGGTCCTATTTCCCTAGTGATGGGGACACTATACTGTAAAAATGGTGCCATCCTTTGAATTAGTTGTAAAACCAAGGTCCCATGGTCTATTCTCTATGGTCATTAAAAATCCCAGGGGGCGTTTCTCGAAAAGAGTAGGGGTGTAACCCTGGCGTTCTGGCCAAATTTCCCATTGGCCCTTATCACATCTTATCCCCATCTACTGTATGAATTGGCTTCATCACTCTGTTCTCCTCCCCACTGATAACATTTTGTAATCATTTTGTAGTGAGCGTTCTGGTGCACTATGGCTGCCGTCGCATCCTCCAGGATGTCCCCACATTAACTGTAAAGTGTTTTGAGTGGAGTGTCCAGAAAAGCGCTATATAAGTGTAAACAATTATTATTATTATTGGTGCTTCTAAAGCCTAAAGATAATGTACACCCACTGGATTCACACCTCCAGCAATTGTAAAAAAAATTCTTAATGAATATAAAATGAAGTAGTTAATGCAAAGAAACAAAGAAAAATTATGAGACGCCTCATACAGAAATTATTGTTTCTGCTGCTTTCTATCAAGTGATGAATGGGATGAACAGTCAAGAGGTAAACAGTATTCTAACCTTTTAATTTGTTGAAAATAAAAACAAAAAGATACACCTCCCACTGTCTGTTACATGTATAACCCACACAATTACTTAATATATATTAAAATGGGTTAATTTGGTCTTGCAGTACCTGCTGTGTTTTTATTCAAGGCATCTTATTCAATTTAGTTATTCATGGGGAAAATCCTAATGAAAAACTATAATGAAAATACATTTAAACTATACTGTATTTTATCATCCACAACATACATTCACATTCACACAGTCTAGATACACTCTAATACAATGAAAGATCTCTCTGTGCCAACTAATGATTTGTAATATTCTATTTTGGGGATCAGCAGTAGGGTTACTCACTGACAACAGAAGCAATTATCACCATCGACAGCACGCTGCACGCAACACCTGAGTGAAACAAGCCCTTAGAAAATATGGTCATATTCAGCAATACATTTCTGTAATGAGGGAAGAGTGTCAACAGACTCACAAGTGTAGCAAAAATCCAGACTAAGCATGCTTTGATGAAAGCATGTGTGATTGATACTCCACGAGACCAGAGGAAGCAAACACACTGTTCTTAAAAACAAGATCGAAAGTGTGAAGGATAAAATCTGTACTGTATGAAGTATGAAGAACAAAAGACACAACAGTAGTTAAAATAAAGAAGCAGTGAGATCTGGCAAACTGGATGGGGGTGGGGGGCAAAAACTATACTGGAACACAGAACTTAAACTACATGGTTTTGTAAAGGAAATATGATTTTTAGTAAATAAAACAAAAGTCCACACAACATCTCCATATCTTAAGTATCAGAATCTCCTGAACCTTTTTAAAAATGAATTTGACTGGTGAATACAAAAACAGAGATGATGTTGGACTCCTCACAGCCAACATGTACTGTCCTATGAAATACATTTATTAAACCATATCTGACAATAAAGGTCACATAGAAATAGAAATAAGACAATAGAAAATGTAATTCACATACTGTACCAGAAATATTTCTACAATAGGGCCTTTAGGACATTAAACAAACTCAGAGCTATGCTAGACATTTAGATATTGTAGTAATTCTGGGAAAAGAAAACTAAAGCATAAAGAAAAGGAAATACATAACATTGACAAACTTCTCGAAAAACATTATTAGTCTCTTTATATGTATAAGGCCCCAGGTATTCTAAAAATAGGCATATACATACTGTACATAATCTGAAATCCCCATCCCAGCCTCTAAACAGTGCAGTTATAAAAGACAGGCTGTCAGTACAATTAGAGTGGACATACATCATCAGACAGATACTAAATAGAGCTCTTATTTAAAGTGAGGCTGTCTGGAATAGCTCTGTCTGTCATCTAGCAAAATAATGTTTCATATTACATCACATACTCACCTTAAATTACAATTATGATAATATTATTACTTACTGTAAATAACAGAAATTTAAAGCTGCTACAACAAACTACTGTAAGTTTGTAATTTGTACTTGGTAGATAACTTAAAACTTTATTTTTAATCTGGAGGATGAACTTTTATTCATTCCATCTTCACTTTCCTGTGAGTGTTACAGAGTTTATGGATTAGATAGTAAGAGCCAGGAGTGCCATTAAAAGAACACATGACAAGTCAGCAGTGTAGTGTGTTCATCAATATCCGTAAGGCAATGATACATCATTAAATAATTTTACTGCCTTCAAATATCTACTTGTCGAATGCTGTACGCGATGTTTTAACACAACGCAATATAACATGCATACAACTGAACTGGACTGAAAAAGGATAGTCTGCACAGCTATGATCGTGAAACTTCATATAAGAGACCTTTGCTTACCAGAAGTACCATAGTCTCTGGAATGACAGGGCCCTCACACAGCAGCGTGTGCCACAGCAGTCTTCATAAGAACGGCATCTGGAATGGGCACAGATACAGCAGGATTAGGCAATGGGATACTGGTACTGTACAGTACATCACATTACACAAGATCTCAGAAGACACAAGCATTTTAATATACAACTTATACAGGAACTTAATATACAACTTATACAGGAACTCCTTTAGCAGATGATTAATAATACACCTTTTTTCTTTCTGGAATTTTCATGTTTTGTGTTTTTTATTACTTTATTTTTTATTTATACTGTTGAAGATGAAGGAGGTTTTACTTTCAGGCAATAAATGGGTATTTAATAGTAAGAAAATTACACAGACTTTTAAAAGTCAGACACACTTTTAAAATGTTCTAGAACTGGTATCCTAGTCTCCCTCGTCACGCAGTACTGAAGACATAAAAGGCACAATGGTATAGTATGAGCAGAGAACAAAGACATCATTATCACACGGCACCAAATTTCAGTTCAGCTACACAAAACTGTTACAAATTCAGGCAGTCATTCTTTTTTCTACAGTACCTCTTCACACACTATTCACAAAGGCTGTACTGTTTACCCATGTGTCTTATGAATGTTACAGGAGCCTTTTCACATGGGGATTGAGTAAATTTGCCTAATTTCCTTATGTTGCCTATTTATTCCCTAAAACAGGTTCCTGAATTTGCATATGATCACCCATAGGTTTCACGTAAGACAGCTGCAGCTGGAAATACAGCAATAGTGTGCATAGATGTGTTTGACTGACAAAAAGGACAGTTGTTTCCTAGAAAATTGTTGTAGAAGTCTTGGAGTGTTACTCTGGGTGGTGTCAGAGTCAAAAGAAAAAGTGTTAGATTTCAGACAAAATCCTTTATGAATTATATTATAACGACGATATCTGTAAAGGAATAGGAGGTGATTAGAAAGCCTGGTCTTGGAACAGATCACTGTGAAGAGAAGGACTGCTGGTTTAGTAAGAGAGGGGGGCAAGTAGACCAGGGAAGAAGAGAAGGAACGATGCAGAGATATAGAAAAAGATTTAGAAGAAGGCATAGTGGGTTGCAGGAGAAGTAGGCTGAAGAAGTTCAGGTGGGCAGCTGCGTCAGAATGCGTAAATTGCAGAGGAACAAGTAATATGTTTATTCCATGCTGAAAAGGAAAGAAAAAAAACACAACGTTTCGGCTGCGGACCCTTACACCCAAAGAAGGAATTAGTTTAAATAAGCAATTAAACCTGACACAATTGAACCATTTTAACAAGGCTTTCCTCTCTTTGGTTCTGTCACATTTTCACAATCACTTGGACAGTTGAATCTCACATTCAGCAGTAAAGGGGAAATGATTCATGCTGTAATGCATTGGCTTGTATTCACAACCACATTTCTTCATTCACAAAGGACGAAGGGAGACTTTTGGAAAAGATGGCCCACACATTTCAATAAAGGCATCCTCAACCATGTTTGTTAGAAAATTTAAAAACTCTTCTTTTGTTCTGTGCAATTTTGTTCTTTCAGATGTTTTACTTCGTGCACTTTTTTCTTCTAATCATTTAGTCCACTGCGCATAACATGACAAATCGGTCAAAATGCTTTGCTAAATTAACTTTCTTACTACATATCAGAAAGGAGGTGGTAAGTTTATAGTCTTCATTTTGTCATAATTACATTCTGGAAAGCAAGTACTGTACATGCGCTGTTGGATATTTTATAATTTGCAGATCAATCAGATCTCTGAAATATCATGGGTCTTTCAGCTTTGTACAGATTAAACTCAAGATTAATTTAATTAAAAATAATCAAATTTCAAATGCAATGCAAGAACACAAATTTGAGTGAAGGCTTGGGTTTTATCTTGCTAATTATGACTATAAATCTTGATTTCTTTTGCTCACAGCCCCACAGCTGCAGAAATGAAAGAATAAATGAAGCTCAACAAAGGCCTTGCTTGCGTGTGAAAAACCAGTAACATTTCTTCCTCCTTGTAGAAGAAAGGTACACTGTTCGTTCATTTGTAAATTAAAGTTTTTCAATTCAAAAGAACATTTAGAAGTAGCTTACAGATACAGATTTAAGTCTCTACATCTCTACTGAAGCCTTATTTATCTCCCTTGCACTAAACAAGAAGCTCTATTTAGATTTGTAAAGCCACAGTACCACTCCACTGACAGTGAGAAAAGTAAAAAAAGTATTTCTTTTTGACACATTCTTCTTTACTCACACTTCTCATTTATGCCCATTTTGTTATTCCTGAATAGATATATCAACATATATATCTATATGTTGTCTAAAGACGAGGTGTCAATCTTTTACAATGAATCCCAATCTTCATTTGCCTGTCTGTACTTCACATTTGTACAGGGTACATGTTTCATCTGAGCCATTGAGTATATAATCATACATTTTTGGATTCTAAGAAAAGAGAAAAGCATTTTATAGTAAAAACATATTAGCATATTTTAGTAGTTTAGCCTGATTTGAGTATATTACAATGGATAATAGTTATGTCTTAAAGCTAATGCCTCTCCCAAGCAAACAGAAAAATTGGACAGGATAGCATTTCTTTTTAACCGCTTCAAACTAATTTGAATATAGGACAGCCAAGACTGGGTCATTATTCAGTGTCTTATGCCATCATAGAATATTCCAGCAGGATATGTTCTTTCTGGAAACAGCAGTTTATTGTAAGTATCAACCAACATGATTTATTGACAGCTGGTGTCATTAGAACTCATTGGCTGGCAGTTGTCATATAAGATATTAAATTGATTACTGTTATATTACTGTTTCTAGATATATATAGTAGGGTCTTAAGTTGTGCAAATTTAACATTCATGATTTGGTCTGGCTGACAGGATCTTGGATGAAAAAAGAGCAGAGCGAGAGTGAAACCGAGCCAAAGGTTGTTAACCACAACTTTCAAATTAGTGTTGCAACAGACTAGCATTGTGAGACAAATCTAACTAGTGAGCCTCTCTCTGCCCTGTGCCCAAGTACCAGCTACCAAGCAGTCACATCTCAACCTGGTAATGAACACTCCCAGTTCTGTGTCAGCGGTGTGGAGCATGACAGGCTGGATGACGAGTTTACAGGCTCACTGACAGTTTTTTGCCTTTTTCATTACAGTAGGGTGTGCTAATCACAGAGGCAGAGAGAGAGTGCAGTAATCCACTGGATGCAGAGAAATAATTTGTGTAATTTATTCTAGCTGATTACTATAATTTTAGGATTACTGTTGTTTGTTTTAGTTGATTGATTTTATTTAAATTTACTTAAAACCAATGTATTTTAATCATGCACATGTATTATAGTGTTGTAAATAATGCAATGGTATAGAGGTGTCTTTCCATTGTATGTTATTTTACAAAGTACTACTCTTTTTGTAACCAACACAAATGTCAAATTCAGTAACAGAAGAATATGTACACAAAACAAATTACATATATTTTGTGAGTACTTTCTGAAATATCTGTTCCTTAGAGATAAAGGAGCAATTTCCCTATAGAAATCTCTGCATAGAAGTGAATGCTGTCATTATCTTCCAATGTTACTACCAAGTTTAGTTCTGCTACAAATTAATATACTGTGTTCCATGCATGGAGACTATAACTGGAGCAAAAGTGAGTGGCTATGTCTTATGATTAAAATTGTGATTCAAAGAAATTCAGAGAAAACCTGATAAAAACATCTGACTCTTGAGGCTAGAGAACACTGAAGGAGATTTGGGAAATCAAAGGACATTGTGTACTTTCTCTTCATCAAAAATTCTATGACAGCATGAAGTGTGTGATTTTGATTTTCTGCACCTGTGGCATATCTCTAAGAAATGGAGTGTAGACAGGCTACAGTAAAATACCAGATGGTTCTTTCAGTTTGCTCTGCTTTTGCAGTCAGTAGCTATAAGATCAAAAATGTCTGACATTTCTTTCTATATGAAGCTTAGAACACACTTGTACTGGAAAAAAAGATTATTTTTTTTATTTTTTATTCCTTCGACTGAATTACAGTACATATATTAAATCAACAATGTCCCAATTAATATTGTGGCGCCCTCGTCTGGTGTTGCAGCTGAAGAGTGCCCGGCTAATGTTTGTGGCGAAGGGCAGGATGGGAGTAGTAGCCAGGGCTGGGGTCATTGGCCAGTGCAGCTGACCATCCGGTGTGATGAACATGGCTGTCAGAACTGTCAATCAGGGTGTTAACAGTTATTCCTGGTTTGTTCCCCTTTATTCCTGTACCCACTTTCCATCCTATATTCATGTACCTGTACCCCGAAAGTCCCAAGTGTGCAGTAGACGAGGTTGGGTTCTTTTCCTGCTGCTGCTGTTGTGCTGGAGGCAGTCTGATAGTCTGCGCTTGTATATTTAGATAGATAGATAATACTTTATTAATCCCGTAGGGAAATTTATGTCTTTTTGTCTTTTTGGAAATTTGTCTTTTTAGACAAAAGAGCTGAAATTCTTTTTATTCATTACCGCTGAAACTGCTGTGTTACAATATTTATCTTTCTTGAATAATACTTGAAATATGATTGTTAACCAGAAATCTGCCTCTTTTTTTTTCATTTCCAGGAGATGCTGTTCTTTCCTAGCTCTTCTGTATTACGTGTTGATTGTAGGTGTTCCTGTGCTCATAATCATTCATTGACTTCTGCCAGTCAATTTGCATCACGATTAGCAATGCAAATCCTAAAAACATTTGACACTGTGTTGATCATCTACATGCTTAATATTAGAATATACTTTTGTATTTGCAACCATGTACTAACAGCTTATGGCCTGGTAAATAAGCTGGTATCTTTCCCTGCAGATATTTCAGAGCTTAGGCCATTTTTGTATGTTATTTTTTTCTGTTCACAAATAACACAACTGTCTTTTACTATATACAGTACCAATCCAGTTGGCTTTATCCTGTTTTACCTGTTTTTAAAAATTGGTAATACCTATAAGTTACTAATGAATTACTCAAGTAATATCTTTAAGAGAAAACTGGGGCTTGAGGGCTGAAGGGTACTCAGATTCTGCTCCCAGAAATGACTCAATTT